CCACGCCCGCCGCCATGTTGGATCTTATTATAAATGTAATCTCTGTTATCTTGAGACCAGGAGCAACGTAGTACACCTGTAATCCCAGCAACCTGGGAGACTGAGGCAGGAGGATTGCAAATTAAAGGCCAACCTCAACAATTTAGTGAGGCTCTGTCTCAAAATAAAAAGAGTGGGAATGTAGCTCAATGGTAAAGTGTCCCAGTAACTATTCCCACCTCCAAAAAAAAAAAATCTACAATGGCATGGGTGTTTCAGTTTCAGTGTGTCCTAAAATAAAGGTCAGCACACTGCAGGTGAAATGCTTTCTGCTTTGTTGGCTATATAGTCTCCTTTTTGCTGGTGGGTGGGGGGGGTGCTGGGGATCGAACCCAGGGCCTTATGCATACAAAGCAAGCACTCTGCCAACTGAGCTGTATCCCCAGCCCTATATAGTCTCTTAAAACTACTCAATTCTGCTATTGTAGCATAAAAGTACACCCATAAAAAGTAAGTAAACAAATCGTTGTAGGTGTGTTCCAATAAATTTTTACTTACAGAAATAGGCAGTAGACCTAATTTTGTCCACTAGTTGTCATTTGATGATCATAATATATATCAAATGACTGTAATATATCATTTGTTTTATCTGAATTTTAAAAAATTAACTTGATTTTGGACCAAATGAAAATAAGCTTTTTCCTGAAGGCGGGGGGGGGGGGGGGGGGGGGTCAAAACTGGTAAGACTTACTCAAGATTGAAAAATAGTTTTCCTGGTTGTAATGTGAAGATCACTCCAAATTAGATTATTCTGACTTCTTTAAGGATCTTTAGTACTGATTGTGACAAGATAATATTGTAGCACCTTCAACATTAATGGTATGAGAGTTGGGATTGTATTTACCCAATTACTGTTTTTGTTTTTTTATTTTCCTAATATGGAAGTTGCGGGGCTGAAGGGTGTAGCTCAGTAGTAGAGTGCTTGCCTGGCATGCAGAAAGGCCCTAGGTTCAATCACCAGCACCATAAGAAAAAAAAAAAAGAATCTGATATAGTGTTGGGCAAGTTGTCAGTGCTTAATTCATATTATCAGTGGATGAATAAATAAAAACCATGTAAGTTTGAAATATTTTTTTATAATATCATTATGGAATATTTGAGCATTAAAAAATCAAATTCTGATTCCATATAAATTTGATTTTATTCCTGTTATGAATGTTCCACTGTATTGATTTTTTTTAATATTTTATTAGTTGTTGATAAGCCTTTATTTATTTATATGCAGTGCTGAGAATTGAACCCAGTGCCTCACACATGCTAGGCAGGCACTCTATCACTGAGCCACAAAAAGAATGTATTAAGATTCTTTTGATTATAAGTCAGGAGCACAGTTACTGCTTTAAAGGGGACAGGGGGAGTAAAGCCTTTGTGCAGGGATGACGCAAAATTCATGAAGCGTTCCATATTTTTCTGAATACATGTATGAAGACATGAATGGTGTCAAAATACTTTGTTTACAATCAGTGACTTGAAAAATTGTGCTCTATGTGTATAATATGAAATGAATTTCATTCTGCCATCATGTATAACAAATTAGAATAAATAAATTATTTTTTTTAAAAAAAGTAAAGAATGGAGGGAAATTGCCTGAGGGACAGATGGATCCCAGGAATCAACTGTGTTCTTAGGATCTTCTCTCTTTGTGAACTGTGCTCTGAACCTATTTGTTTACTTGATTCTCTTCTATTGAGAGAAGTACTAGAGAATGGAAACTACAAAAGAAAGTGTCAAAAGGCTTATGTGGTCCTTAATCAACAAGCCCTTTGAAAGTGAGCACTGTTGACTCTCTGCTTTAGTATATATGGTCATCGATAAAAACACTTGTGTCACATACTCATTCTTGTACCAATTGTGTCAGCATAGTTGATACAAGACCAGTTTAGGTAATACGCCCACCCTATGACAAAGGTAGGAAGCAAGATAGAGAGGGAGAAGGAAACATCATGGTTGATAGCCTCACTGGAATCAGAATCAGGAACTGTTTATCCAACAGAGGGAACAGTGTTCATGGAAGAATAAGGTTAAAACTGTTCTGGGTGGGGGTGGGGGAGTAGCTACTACAGTCCACTGTCATATTCAGACAGTTTTAATATTCTTCGCATATATTTTGAGGAACTCCATTCCTTCTAGATTTCACTGAACTAAAAAATAAAAAAAAGGGAAAAAAAATAAAATAAAAAATAAAAATGAAAATTAGGTACACTGTATGTTCTTAAAATTTCATGTGTATCTATGGTTATTTTGCCTGTTCTTATTTCTTAGTCTTATATATTTAACTCCCATGAGCTACCAAGCATTGTTTTAATTTGAGTAGTCTTTAACGCTGCTCATTTTAGTGTTTTTCTTTTTATTTCTCCAATCATGTCTTGGTTGGTTGAAGTTTGTTTTCTGTTCATTGCTTGAAGAAGGACTTGTGGAAATTATATTTCCTGAGCATATTCAAAGTATCTTTTTGTTGCAGTTCAACATGACTTGACAGGCTATTGTTTCATACATCATTTCTTGGGGGATTTTATAAACAGTGGCTCTTGAACTGATATTTTATGTGGCTATTTAGTTCATAAGATTTGCTTTACTTTCTCTTCTCTCCCACACTCCCAGGTTCTTCCTATTTCTCTGAAGTTATTTACATAGATGTTAACATATATAGTTTTACAAGACTCTGGCACCTGTTCAATTTGTAGATTCAAATCTTCCTTTATTTCTGGAAATTTTCCTCAAATTATACCTCCTAATTTTTTTTCAGTTCAATTTTTTCCTATTCTTCTGAAATACCCATTCTATGAATTTTATATATCCTTTGTTTTACATATTCATCATTTTCTCTCCAGTCCCTGTCAAGTCTGTCCATGTCCTTTGGTTGATTTTGTTAATCCTTTTGCTCATGACATTTGCACAGTGGTTTAGCAGTGTCTATATCTTTTAAAGGTTCCAGTGCAGCCCTCTTTTCCATGTTTTTTTTTTTCTTCCATGTTGCTCATGAACTTTACTAGTCAGTTTTTAAATCAACTTCTCTCATATTTTCCCTATGCTCTGGTTTCATTGCATTAAGCTCTTTGTTTATTTTATTGGTTTACTTGATATCACGACAGGTTACTGGTTAGTTCCAGTTTTTCACTGTTGACAACATTATTCTGCCTTGTACTCTTTGTTTTTCTTTGTGAATACTTTGTTACAGATGCTATATTTGTTCATTCCTTTTGAATGACAAAAGAGTTTTTCCAGTACTGTTTTTACAAGAGGTTCATGTGGGAGAGAAACTGGGAGTTGACCCTATATGTGAATTGTTTTACCCTTTAATTTTTCACAGCAAAGGGAGATTGGAAGTTTTAGGGCTTCTTACAACTCGGAGAGTTTTTTCTCTTCTATCCTGTTACAGAGCTTCCTACCAAAATGTATCACTGTTCATTGATTTGATCTTATTTCCCTGATACTCCATGATAAAGAAGTATGTCCTGCCCTGCCTAACCCCATTAACCTAAACTTTTTTATTGTTCCAACTAAGGGATTATTGGTTTTGACCTAAAAAGGAGTTAACCTGCTATGGAGAACTCTGCTTGGCAGCTAGCTAGCTTGCTTGTTTTCTTTCTTCCTTCTTTCCTTCCTTCCTTCCTTCCTTCCTTTCTTCCTTCCTTTCTTCCTTTCTTCCCTTTCTTTCCTTCTACTGGGAATTGAGCCCATCTGCACTTTACTACTAAGCTACATTCCCCCAGCCCTTTTTATTTGAGAACTGGATCTTGCTAAGTTGCCAGACTGGCCTTGAACTTGGGATCTTTCTCCCTCAGCCTCCTTAGTTGCTTAAATAGAAGTGTGCCACCACACCTGGCTTTTGCTCCCTTTCATTCCATCTTTAGCTATAGACATCATTTTCAGCATCTTTTCATATACTCATTTGACCTTGCCTATTTTGGGGCAAGCATTCTAATGAGTTTAGAAGTTAGATTTCTATCTCTTAGTTTCCTTAAAGATGAAATTTGCATTTCTGTTATTTTATTTATTCTTCTTATAATTGTTTGGGGGCAGTTTTGAAGAAATAAAGGAACAAAGATGTCTTAACTTCATACCTTAAAATCAGAAGTCAAGAGAACATTTTAATGTGGTTGGGGTAAAAGTCAAATAAGGATTAACTGATAAGAAAATTGAGGCATACAATTTGTTTATATATATCCATACACAACAAACACACACACACACTGTTCATTTGATAAACTTACCGATGTCACGGTAATATAAAGGTAAAGAAATAGGGAAGAATTGCAATTCAGTGGGCATGAATATCTTCAAGTTATGGAATATCTGAACTTATTTAAAGTCCTATGGAATTGAAACATTAAATATTTAAGAGGCTTAGGGGACAAGATTAGAACCTATGGGTATATAAGCTTTAAAATTAGGGACATAGGTGAAAAAAATCACGGAAAAAAAAAATGCTACCACAGTTGTTGAACAATTGTTTCAAGCATTTCTTAAATCACTCTCAAATAGGTGGTTTTTGTAAAGTTATGTCTGTGTAAAATGAACAACATTGTGATGTTTGAAGTTTTATTGTTTATGAAATTACTACAGTTGACACTTGCATGCAAACTATAAAATAAAGCTATGTGTGTACATCTATTAGCAAGTAAAATATATCCCTTCAAAAGACATTCTCCATGTTTTTTAAGATAAGGAAGTCCCTTTTATTTAATTTTTAAGTAATTCTTTTCTGTTTATTTCAGTGTATTAAATAGTTTCTGGGCTGGGAATATAGCTCAGGTGATAGAGTGCTTGCCTCACATAAATAAGGCCCTGGGCTCAATCCCCAGCACACAAAAAAAAAAAAAAAAAAAGAGAGAGAGAGAAAATAGGTTCCTTATCTTTTGAGCAGTATTAAAACACTTGGTATATATATACTTTTCTGACCTGAGTCTACCCTCTTCCCCTAAGTCCTTTTTTAATGTTTTTATTGTCATCTTTGGCAGTGGCTTGAACTTGGCACCTGTAGCACGACTCAGAGGTACTTGGGAAAAGTTACCAAGCAAATATGAGAAACATCTCCAAGATCTACAAGACCTTTTTGATCCATCTAGAAACATGGCAAAATATAGAAATATTCTTAGTAGTCAAAGTATGCAGCCTCCAATTATTCCACTGTTCCCTGTTGTCAAGAAGGATATGACATTTCTACATGAAGGTATTTATAAAAATTACTTGAAAATCAGCATGTTTTAGCTTCAGCTAATTCTACAGTAATGGTTTATTATATATTCCAACTTAATGAGTGTAAGTTACTGCCCAGACTCTGGCGCACACCTGTAATCCCAGCAGCTGAGGAGGTTGAGGTGGGAGGATCATAAGTTCAAAGCCAGCCTCAGCAATATAGAGAGGCTCCAAGCAACTCACCAAGACCATGTCTCTAAATAAAATTTTAAAAAGGGCTAGGAACATGGCTTAGAGGTTAAGCACCTCTGAGTGCAATCTCTGGTACCAAAAAAATAAAAAGAATACAATTTACTAAAGCTAATTTACACAGTTAAATACAATAAATTTTAGGCATCTAAAAACCACTTTGTTAAGAACGAATAATGAAGTTTTTACTGCATGCATTAAAAATGTATACTTGATACACCAAGATTAAACTCTTTGATCACATTTTTTTTTCAGTAATATTTTTCCTTCCAGCTTTTTTAAAAATTTTAAGTTATCCTCCTGTGTCCCCCAAATAGCTGGGATTAACAGCTGTACACCACCATGCCTGGCTAGATTGTCCTTTTGTTTTATATTTTTCTAAGAATTTTTTGTGTATCTTGGGTATGATATGGCTTGCCTTTCCTTTTGATGAACATTGAAAGTTCATCATTTTGGGCTGGGGATGTGTCTCAAGCGGTAGCGCGCTCGCCTGGCATGCGTGCGGCCCGGGTTCGATCCTCAGCACCACATGCAAACAAAAGATGTTGTGTCCACCGAAAAACTAAAATAAATTAATTTAAAAAAAAAAAAAAAGAAAGAAAGTTCATCATTTTAAAAGCCTGATTTATTGATTCTTTACCATGGATAGCTTATTTATAATCTATCTACATCAATTTTTGCATGGTAATGGTATTTTTTTCTACTTTGTTAATTTGGTAACTATTCACTGTTTTGTTATTTTTCTAATGTTATATACTAGATGTTGTACTTTATATATTTCTTAACATTAATTAAATAGACATTAGTACTATTAGTACTATTAGTGTGTCAGACAACACAAGGAGCATAAACCACTTAAATTTCATTTACTTGACTTCCAGTGTTATACAGTTGTTACCATGCCTTTAAATCCCATAATATAAATTTAATTTAGTAAAGTCATTATTTATTTAACCTCACCTGTCTGCTTATGTTGTTTGTTTTCATCTCAAAGTTTTCATATGGTTAGGTGTTCTTTTTTTTGTTGTTGTTTGTTTGGGGTACTTTTTGTCTGGTTAGTTTTTGTTTGTATTTGGCCTGTAGAACACTTTTTAGCATTTCCTTAGGTACAAGTCTTTTGTGATGGAAATCTTTTAATTTTTGTTTATCTAAAATTTTCAGAACTGTATCTTTGGCAAATACCATCTTTCAACATTTTAAAATAACATTTCATTGTCTTTAATTCTCACTGGTGTTTATAGGACACATTGAAATATATGGTTTGGTATTTTTCCTCAGTTTCAGAAAAATTCTCTGTAACACTGTCTTCATATGTTTTATTTGCCCTTTTCTTGTCTTTCTATTAGAAACTCTGATTTTACCTGTTTTAAACCTGGTCTTTGTTCCCCTATTATCTTATACTCTGTTATCTGTTTGTGTGTTTGTTTTGTTTTGTTTCTCACCATGCCCCATTTTAGATATTTTCTTTCACCCTGTTTTCCAGTTTCTTCTCTCTTCAACTGTGTTTAATCCCTCATAGATTTCCTAATTCCAGGTTTCTGGGGTTTGATTCAGTATGTTCTAGTTATATAATTTCTCTTGCCTTTTTTTTTTTTTTTTTTAAGTTTGTTTGTTTCTGATTGCTCTACAATCTGGATCCCCTATGGGTCTTTTTTCTGGTGTCTTTTTTTCTTCTTTCACTCAATCATGTTATTTTTTTCTCCTAATGTGCCGTGTTTTTTTATTTGTTTTTTGGGTTTTTTTTTTTTTTGGGGGGGGGGGGGGTTGGTGTTTTGCTTTGCTTTTTAAAAACAATATAGATATAGAATTTTTAAAAATCTCCCAAAATCTGAGGGTTTTGAACAATGTTTCATTCCTTCAAAGAGGATTAAGTCAACACAGCTAAATTCAGTGTTTTATCCATTTTTAGATTTAGAGAGAATTCAACACCAGACTATTAATTATTTCAGTCTACATTTGGTTCATCCTCCATCCCAGGATATAGAACTTTTTCTGAATTCTAACTCAAAATATTGGAGGTTTAACTGGACTTAGTTGCTTCTATCTTACCTCAAAAAGCAGGGTGACTCTACTCAGTTTTTTGTTTTTTTTATTTTTGGTTATTGTTTTTGTTTGTTTGTGTGTTTGTTGTTCTTCTCATCATCCCCCTCTTCTAAAGTCAGCAAGTACACTTAGGAGCAAGCACTAGCAAATGCCATACCTGCCCCTCTGCATTCTCATTCTCTGCATGTCTTCACTGCCTTCTTAACATTCAGATGGTTTTTATATTTGTCCAACTTTCTGATTGTTCTCAATAGTAAGGTTGTTCTAAACTGCCTAAATTCATCACTGTTTTATCATTTGAAAAATCAAAAGTGCCATAGGCTTCTAACATCCTTCTTTGGACATTTTCCCTCAATTTTATGTGACTTGAGAGTTTTTGATGATTATTTGGTTACCAACTCTTCTTGAGACCCTGAAAATTCATCTTTTTAATGTATAAGTGCTCTTTACTGTGATGAGTTCCACACCTATGTAGTTACACAGCAGCACCTCAGGGATTTCCATGGGAGAAAAATGGGGTTACACTGTTAAAGACAGACTTTTTAAAAGAAAAAAAAAGAACCACTGTGAGCAGAAAGATTGCCCTTTGAACATTGTTTTTGCCTCTCACTACAAGTTAGGTAAGACAGTAAATGAACTATATCTTGTCTCATAACTTAATCTCTTCAGAGAAAAGTAGATTATTTTTTAAATCAGATACATTTTTCCTCAGAGAACTATTAAGCAACACAAAAATAATGAAAATTATGAGCAGGGAAATTTGAGTTCATGATTATAAATCATGTTCTGGGAAAGGAAAGTTGGATGCCAGACTGAAAAGCATACACCTTTCTTTGTTTTAAGTATTGCTACTTGGGAAAACAAACCCAACATCATGTAATCTCCCATCTCACATTCCTTTGGGATGTCTTCTTTAAGGATTATAATTCATTAAACAATTTTCAAAACATTGTAAACCAAAGAAAACTTATAGGCTTAGTTAATTAATAATTAAGCCCAAGGTGACCTTGTGCCCTCTGACTAAAGCCTAAGTTTTCAAGCTATGTCCTTGATGTCCAAAAGAGCAAATGAGCAAAGCAAACATGTGGAGATACAGATTTGAATGACTGCATATTTTATGGGTCTGTAAAATAATTGAATGTGGTTTTAGTAGCCAGGGACAGTTCATCATGTATTTAATAAGCATAATCATTATTCCCATAGGGAACACAATTCCTCCCAGTAGTACATTCCATGCAATTGTGATTGAGCCATCCACAGATATATCAATTCTTAAAAACAAAAGTAGCACTTATAAAGAAGGCTCTTATTTGTACTCTCCAAGAGTAACAGTTTGACTTTTGCTACTTTGATATAAAAAAATTACTTTTATTCTATAGGAAATGACTCCAAAGTAGATGGTTTAGTAAACTTCGAGAAGCTAAGAATGATTGCCAAGGAAATCCGTCAAGTTGTTCGAATGACTTCTGCTAATATGGACCCAGCTATGATGTTTCGACAGAGGTATGACACAGAAATGTGAATTATTATTAGGTGGCATCAAGGGTGATAATAATAATAATCATAATATTTATCATTTCTTGTGCACTGCACTAAGTGCTTTACAAGTGCCAATCTCAAGTAATTGTTTATCACAGAAACCCTAACAGGTAGGTGATATTAGCCTTTCATATCTGAGGAATGTAAAGCTCAAAGCAGTTTTTATGTAATTTGCTAAAATTTAAACCCCTAGTTTCTCTATTTCTTTTTTGAATATATGGATAGTTCTGCATTGTTGTAATTTTTTTTTAAATATAAGCAAACATATTGTTGATCTTCACTGAAATTATCATACAGGATGAATAGTTTCAAACCTAATCTGTAATGTATTAATTATCTCTTTTTTTTACTGAATATTTTTAAAAGTAATTGTTTATAGTACTAATTGATACTTCATTTTTTTAAAAAACATACGTCCCTTTGTTCAGGTTAATAATGCCACTTTTTATTTGTATGTACATTCTTTAACAGAATTTACAAAGTGCAAATTTAATCATTCTTCATCTTTATTAAAAATGGAAAATATTTATATTCTTTATTATCTGATCTTCTATGAATGCATTTTAAATTCATTTTAATGTAATAACAAAGGCTTCTTCGAATTGCTATGTAGTTTATAGAAAGTACTTTGTTAAGCTGCTCCTAGTAATTTTTATAATTTTCAGGGTATCAGTAGACATTACAGTTTTAATTTTTGGTCTGATTTTCTTTTCTGTGTTTAGAGCATTAAAAAATGGAATAATTTACAGATGCCAACATAATTCCTAATATGTAAAAAATATATACTCTGCTAAGGAAACAAAAATACTTGGTTCTTTAAAAACCAGAGTTGAAAAGCCAGGTGCCATAGTGCACACCTATCATCTTAACTAATTGGGAGGCTAAACAGAAGGATTTCAAATTCAGGGCTAGCCTGAGCAACTTAGCAAGACCCTATCTCAAAATTTAAAAATTTTAAAAAGCTAAGGGTGTATATCAGGGGTAGAGTTCCCTAAGTTCAGTCCCCAAAAGAAAAAGAAAAAACCATTTGGAGTTTATGTAACCCAACAAACCAGTGTGTGTCAAGATTGGTTTTTTTTTGCTTATTCACATCACTGTTCAGGAGTCTGTTTTTGTGAGTAGTTAATCTGTTGGTTTCTCTAATTTAGAGATCCTCAATATGTGGAGGAGGAATGAGTGTTCCTAATCTCCTCTTCCCAATTTCTATCCCTTTTCTGCCACTTGAGACCAATACATATAAGAGATGTCATTGCTCAACAGTGTGATAGCAGAAAACAATAAGAACCAGGAACCAAAGCAAACCTGGAGGAGGGCTTGTTCACTTGTTTTGTTTTTATTTTTGTTGTATGTCCTTGTACAGTGGTCTTGACATTCCCTATTGTCTTATATGGAACTCCATTCACTCATATGTTACCACTCTGGTCCCTGACTATGTAATGAATTTGTGTCCCTGCCAGACCAGTTGATAATATACCAACTACCATCTGTGCCTGAGAAATGGGCAAAGAGGGGGGAAAAAACTGATGCGAAAATTAATAAACCTGGCTGTTTGAGGTGGGTGGGGGCGAATAGCCTGGGTTGAGTAGAATAAGAAATGAGGGAAAATATCACTGTAAACATTGGACTGAATTTTTCCTGAATCGGTTTTATTTGTCTGTCAGTAGTAATCATCAGTTTGCTAAATAAAAAAAACACTGTCTTTATTTGAACAATAGCGTAAAGATATACAATATTGTAAGATTTCACTGATACATTTTTAATTATTATTTTTTTTTTTTTTTAAAGAGAGAGAGAATTTTTTACTATTTATTTCTTTAGTTTTCGGCGGACACAACATCTTTGTTTGTATGTGGTGCTGAGGATCGAACCCGGGCCGCACGCATGCCAGGCGAGCGCGCTACCACTTGAGCCACATCCCCAGCCCCTTTTAATTATATTTTAAGTTGGATTTGTTGGCCAACTGTTCTTTACAATTTCTTATAAAATACTTCATCAGAGAAATTTCTGCACGTAGAAAAGAATTGTTTGTTAATATTCCTTGTAGTTTCATTCTGTCACTTAATGAATGCCTTAAAAATATTTTCAAAATCACATTCACAAATTTTATACTTCAAGATTTTTTCCTTAAAAACTTTTAACTCAAAATTTATAGTAAGTATTTTCATTTAAGCTTCTTATAAACTGCTACATGAATTTATTAAGACCCTCACCCTCAGTGAGGCCCTGTCTCAAAATAAAAAATAAAAAGGACTGAGGTTGTAACTCAGTGATAAAGCACCCTTGTGTTCAGTCCCCAGTACCAAAATACATACATACACATATACTAAGTTGTTTTTTTAAAATCCATCATTCGGGGGCTGGGGATGTGGCTCAAGTGGTATCACGCTCAAGTAGCATGCGTGAAGCACTGGGTTCGATTCTCAGCACTACATTAAAAACAAAATAAAGATATTGTGTCCACCTAAAACTAAAAAACAAATATTTTTTTTAAAAATCCATCATGGAGTTTCTTTTGGCCTTCTGGACGTGGACATATCATAACTCAAACCCTTGCGTTCCCTTAAAGTCATTTTACCATTAAGCTACAGTTTTTTCCTGGTGAAATATTTCCATTCTACCCTGTCTACATAGTTTTTCTGACTTTCAACTGTTGTCTGTTTCTGTGCTTTCCTGTTCAAACACATGCTTCAATGTTTGTGGCTCTTGCTTACAGGAAGAAGAGGTGGCGGAGTCTGGGGTAAGTGTAGAGATGAACACAACTGGAATGAAGGTTGTGCAACTCTTAACATATAATGCATCCCTTTCATTAATGCACGCATATAAAACAGCATGTGTTCTATTAACTCTGTCAACCTACATTCCTGACAAATGCCTTTTGCTAACAAGGTGAACGTAGTGATAGAACTTTTTAGGGTTTTTTGTATTTTTTTTTATGTATTTGTTTACTGATTTTACTTTTCCATTATTGATGTTCTATAAGCCCATTTTAATTTTTTTTAAATTTAGCAGGATCTCTTAGATGATGATAAAGACAAGGATGGTAGTGAATATTTGTTATATATTTCCCATGTGCCAAACGTTGTTCTAAGTTTTCTAAATGAATTAGCTGTTTAATTCTCCTATCATCCTTTGAGTAGATGTTATTCCCATGGTATAGATGGGGAAGATGGAATTGCCCAGTTTTATAGCTCATTGATAGTGAATCCAAACCTAGGCAGTCTGATCAAGACTCCACACCACATTTTTTCTTCATATACCATATTTTATTTTATAAAAGTAAACATTTGGGGCTGGGGATGTGGCTCAAGCGGTGTCACGCTTGCCTGGCATGCACGGGGCGCTGGGTTCGATCCTCAACACCATATAAAAATAAAAACATTTTGTCCACCTAAAACTAAAAAATAAGTATTTTTTTTAAAAAAAGTAAACATATCATGTCAGTGGTATAAAAATGGATGAGAACTATTTGTAAAGGTTGCATTTTCCATCACTTTTCCAAAAAGAAGCAACCTTTATTCAAGCTATATTACGAAGTAAAACTAGAACCTGATTTTAATTCTTCCAAGCCATTTACATCTGAGATTTCCAACACTGATTGAAAATTATTTTAAATTTCTACCAGCTTTGCTAAAAGACTTTCTTAACTCTGTGTAAAACTGTTAGAATAAAAAACACCTTTTGTTTTTTGTTTTTTATGCTTCTACATACGTAGATATTCGTTTAGAATCATAAATTGTTAAAGTTTTTATATATCATGTACTTAGTCCTTTCATTTTTAGATGAAAAGAGAGATGACTTTTATGGGTGAAAGAATTATATAAGAAGAATTTTCTTAATACTAGTGAACCAAGAAGTTAGATTTTTTTTATTACATGTAAGAAGAATTATTTTGTGAGCCATTTTCTTCAGTATTGTGTCTTATTTGTGGTTTTGTTTTCTGTTAAAGCTTAGCAAATTTGGCTTTCCTGTACTTCATTCCTTCCTTCCTTTTCTGTGTTTCTTGTGTATTTCTTCCATATCATACATTTATGTCTTAGTCTTTTCTGTCTCTTCTAACCCGGTATTAATATTTTAAAGAATAATACTTGGACAATCATAGTAGCTTTTTGAGGTGATTAATGATTTAATACATTCACTTTTTATTCAGCTTTAGGATTTGTCTTGTATGATAGTTGATGCTTACAAACAGATATTTTCATTTTACATCAGTATTTCCTGTTTTGGAAATAATGTGGAAGACACTGTCATTTATTAGTGTTTTCTTTTTTAGAATTTTGTTATCTATACTGCCAAGCATAATGGTACACTCCTATATTCCCAACTACTTAGGAGGTTGTAACAGAAGGATCACAAGTTTGAGGCCAGCCTGGGCAACCTGACAAGACACTGTCTTAAAGTAGTTTTTAAAAGGATGGAGAATTTGGCTCAGTGCTAGAGTGCTTGCTCAGCATGTGTGAGACCCTGGGTTTAATCCCCCGTACCACAAAAGACAAAAAAAAGAATTTTTATCTATCCTAAATTTGTTAACACCCTCTTTTTCTTTTAAAATTATTAAATATTAGTATATTGAAACTTGTTACTAAATTTTAGGACTGAATTTTACTTCATTTCTTTGAATCCAAAATTTTATCAGTTGACTCCACTATTATTTTATGCAACACAAGAAAATCACTGCAGTGGTCAAGTGTGGTAGAATATGCCTGTCATCGCAACTACTCAGGAGGCTGAGGCAAGAGGATCACAAGTTCAAGACCACCCTAGACAACTTATGACTCTGTCTCAAAATAAAAAGGGCTGGGGATATAGCTTAGTGGTCAAGTGCCCCTGGATTCAATCCCCCTGTGCCGCCAATCCCCAGATCACTGCTTTATCCTGTTACTAAACTTTTACTTCATGCTATTGAATAAGTCTGTGAACTTGGGTTTGAATTTTTATTACATTAACCTTACTGTGTATATCTAAAAAGGAAAACAAGCAAAATAAATTGGTTTAGATCTTTATAAAATTTCTTCATATTCAGAATGTGAATCTTCTGAAACACTTTTAGAGTCATTAGTTTCTGGGTTTTCTGCAGTATACAGAGACTCAAATGCACACAGTCTTGCCTTCTGTGCCATCCAGTGTATTGATAATCCACCATCTTAAAAATATGGCATAATGCAAGCTCCTGATATTGGGTTCTGAGGCTGGCTTTGCAAGTAATTAGAGCTAGCCACCTTTTGACACCTTTGGGAATGTTATTGAAATTGTCAAATTTACTCTCTTTATAATCATTTGCTCCCTGGAATCTGAAAGGGTAATTTACTCATATCAGTATTCTTTATTCCAAATCATTCTGCAAGTTTTAAGGTTTCTGCATCACTTTAAGTAGTATCACTTTTAAGTAGTGATAACTACATCAACAGTTTCTGCCTAACCAGCAGCAATTGAAAGTTGTCATCAAATCTTAATATACCCCTATTTCAAGAGATCTTAAAATGTGTTTTGTTTAAAAATTCCATAACACTATTTTAGCTGTTTCACCTAATTTAAGTATGTGAGCACTAAAGAACAAATTGTTGTATGGTTGTGATCTGTGTATTTAGAATACTTTTATGTAAATATGAGGCAAATTTAGAAAATGAATGGATATTCTTGTTTTAGAACAGCAGCTGCCTTCAAATAAAAATCATTCAAGAACCTTGTGTTTGCTAGTCTTGTTAAAGGATGCTTGACAAATAGTAGAGTTGGGTGAAAGTGTAGGTTATTTGAATTGTAGTTGTTTTTACTCAACTTGCAGTTCCATCACATTAGCAGCATTACAAAAGTTAATTTCAGATTCCCCTTCCTTAAACCCAAATAGTGACTAACTATTCCATATATGAGGAAATATTGAAAATTTTTTTACATTTCTGATCTCTATTCTGAATTGAATAAAAATGCTGTTATTTTCAGCTAATATCTTACTAGTAAAATTGGACAGCATGCCCAAAATAATCCTGTTCTAGACAGGAATGGTGATTGTAATAGCATGTCCGTGTGTCCAGAGTAGCACAGATGAGCAAAACTGCTCTAGAAACTTCCTTATGGGAGAACCTTCATGCAGATATCTGATAGAGGATAGTCTTGTGTTGCCAGACTCTTGCCATATCTCCAGAGTGTGGATGGCTTCTAGGACCAAAGGAATGCTTTTTCTTGTCACAGTTGTACCATGGTTACATAGGCACAAACACAGGTCTGATAGAATATATTGCGTAGGGAGGAGTTGGTATCTTATTCTTTTGAAATTTGCATTTATCAAATCATTCTTTATTCAGAATATCGCCATATGTGCCAAATTACTTTGCATTAATGCTCTTCATCTTTTAACTCATTTACGTCAGCATGCAATAGCATTAACAGAGCAAAATCTTTTAATCTTCATTCTTCTGTGCTTAATTCTCATCTTTACCACCCCTTATTTTGATTTCTATCCTCTTACAGGTCACTCAGTCAAGGCAGCACAAATTCAAACATGCTGGATGTTCAGGGAGGTGCTCACAAAAAAAGGACACGCCGCAGCTCTCTGCTCAATGCCAAGAAGCTGTATGAGGATGCCCAAATGGCAAGGAAAGTAAAGCAGTATCTTTCTAGTCTGGATGTAGAGACAGATGAGGAGAAGTTCCAGATGATGTCATTGCAGTGGGAGCCTGGATATGGTACCTGTGAGTACAAGTTTTCATTTATGTGATACTACAGAGGATAACAAAATAGATAGTTGGTTCCCCAGAATTATGCTGAAGTTCCAGGAAAATTAACTTTGTACTGACATACCCTAAACATCATGTAATTCCATTAATCAGATCCAGAATCTTATTCATCCCTGATATGCAAGAAAGAGAGGGATAAATTGTTATTCTTTAAGAAGGTTTATAAAGCAGGGCACAGTGGCACACACCTGTAATCCCAGCAGCTCAGGAGCTGAGGCAAAAGGATTGCAAATTCAAGGCCAGCCTTAGCCACTTAGTGAGACACTGTCTCAAAATTACTTTAAAAGGAGGTGAGGGAATGAGGATGTAGCTCAGTGATTAAGTGCTCCCGAGTTAAATTCACAGTACCAAAAAAAAGAAAAGCAGCTTTATAAAGACATCTTGTAAAACTTGGAGCCTTACAGAAGAGTCTTTTTGTTTGAGAACATTTTTGCATTGAGCTTAAAATGAAGGGTGAAATTTTTACTTTTTTATTTAATGGGTATTATACATAGTGTTTTGGTTCCTTTTGAAAAAATTATACATATAAGGAATTTGATTTCCCACTTAATGCTGACCTTTTAAAAATTAAGTATAAATAACAAACCACATATGTTAGTGAAATCAAGAACTGATACAGTGTTGAGAGAAAGGTAGAATGTGTTTCAAAGCTCTAACTCAAAAATTACAATTTAGGATCAATTCGTTGATGAGCCAGTGTTTATTGTCCCCAGGAGTCCCTGTGTTTTATTTTAGCTTTCTGCGATGTTCCCTGATGTTTATCACCCAAAATATTCACTAGGCTCTCATAATAAAAGCATAATTACTAACTATTACATCTATGCTGGGACATTTTAAACATCTATTTGCTTTTATCCTGATATTTAAAGCAAACATATTATGAAGTACTAAGGTTATACCTACTTCATAAAACCATCCTGAATAACTGAGTGAAGGATTAAAAGTACTGCATGGAGCTAGGGATATAGCTTAGTGATAAAGTGCTTGTCTAGCATGTATAAGGCTCTGGGTTCATTCCCTAGCACCACAAAATAAGTAAATAAATAAATAAATAGAAGCACTGCCTGAAGAAAGAATATCCTTTAGACTATGGTATTGATTATATGCAAAGGAGCAGCTCTTTCATTTCTTAAGTCGAAGTTCCCTGGGTTTTTGAGCAAGTGCATCTTCATCTGAAAGATGCACCAAGTGTTACATAGTGGAAGGGAGTTTTCCAGTCTAGAAAACTAAACAATTTATTTTAATAGGAATCTAGACAGTATAGGGCTGAGGAAAAAGGCACACAGTTAATGCTAAATTATGCAGGATCTTTTAAGGCCATGTTGTAGGGCTTTGGGCCTTTATCCTGTGAACAGTGAGAAGGCATATAAAGTTGTATACAGGGACATATGGAGAAAGAAAGTGATATGATCAGATTTTCATTTGGTAGAAACATTTTACCATTGTATGGAGAATGGCTTGAAGTCATGAAATTTATGAAAGGTAGTTTAAAACATTTTATTTTTGTGCTAAAAATTAGTGGTATTTAATAGGCCACTTATTGTTGCCTGTGGTAATAATAGCCTTGCCTAAAAAAGAAGTTCACTTACCGTTTTGTTTTGTTTTTTTTCTCTCCTATAGTGACCAAGAATTTAAGTGAGAAAAGATCTGCCAAGTCATCTGAAATGTCCCCAGTGCCTCTGAGGTCAGCTGGCCAAACAGCTAAAGCCCACTTACATCAGTCCCACAGAGTAAGCCAGGTTCTTCAGGTACCAGCTGTTAATTTGCACCCCATCAGGAAGAAGGGACAAGCAAGAGACCCTACATTGAGTGAGTATTCACAATTAGTATTATATTCATTTAATTAAATTCCAGGGGGATTAAAGTGACAATTACAAATGCTCAGAAGATGAGCTATTGTAAGTTGTGTAATATCATCTCTTAATGAATCAGTTAAAAGGATAAAAAGAATACCGGTTTAAGTATATTCTGTTTGATTTTCCCTAGAGATATTTGATGATAGCATACTTAAGTTTTGTTTTTGTTTTTGTTTAGTTGTAGATGGACACAATACCTTTATTTATTTTTGCCCCAGTGCCTTACACATGAGGAGCAAGTAATCTACCACTGAACTACAACCCCAGCCCCAGTGTACATGTTTTAAATGCTGGCCTTGGAATTCCTGTAAAGCTAAAATCTGTCTATCACCCCAAAAAAACTTATAGTAATATATCTTGAGTATTTGCACCAAACCCTGGGCAATACATCAAGGGCTTACTGCATTAAAAGATGTATTTAATGAAATACCAGCTACAGATGTAACCTACAAAAACTGTGACAGCCAGCCAGACACAGTGGCACATACCTGTAATACCAGTGACTCCATAGCATCAGGCTGAAGGATTGAAAGTTGAAGGCCAGCCTAAGCAACTTAGTGAAACCCTATCTCAAAATAAAAAGGGCTGGGGATGTGGTCAATGGTTAAGTGACCTTGGGTTCAGTCCCTGGTAACAAAGAAATAGAAGAGGAAAAGAAAGAAGAAGAAAAAAAAATCTGTGTGTGTGTGTGTATTTATATAATTTCCACATTTCTTTGCCACTTTTAGGCTATGTAGACATTATCCAAATAACTTTTGTATTGTTTATCGCTATTTCAGCTTTTAGGTGGGAAGCTACATTAAATTTGATTCCTAAAATTATTACTTTAATCTAGACATTATATATAATACATACTAAATAGAAGTTTGTGGATTTAATTTCATTTTATTTGAGTTACAAAGTTGAAAATAAAAAAGAAATGCCCCCTCCCGTGCCAAATTTTCAGTCTGGTTTATATAGAGACTCGCAGATACTTCAGTATGTGTTTACTGTTATGCAGGGGGTAAATACAGAACATATAAAAGGAAAAATAAGAGGCACCTTTAGCAGGAGTGAAAAGGTGGGGCTTCAAAAGAAACCTTTTTGGAGATAAGATGTAAGCAGAACCTCAAAAGATGGTTGATGAGGAAGGAAGTAATTAGGGGAAGGTTTCAGAAAAGTTGCTTCAAGCAAAGGAAACAGCTTAGTGTCTGCAAGGAGCTACAAGTGCTTTGCTGACTGGCTGCAAATTTCATGCAGAGTATTGAAAGAAAATAGTAACTAAAGTTGACAGTTAGCATTTAGGGAGTCGAGGCACAGTTCACAGTGCTTTACTGACCATACATTCGTTTATTCTTTATAATAACCTATAAGAAAGGTAGTATTTTATTCTTACTGAGAACCAAACTCATTAATGTGTCAAAATTATAATTTGCTTTGCTAAAGGCAAGTTGTGATTGAGACGCCATTAAAGAAATTTGAACACGGGAAAGTTATAGTACAAATTATGATTGAGAATAGACTATAGTAGAGAATGCAGCAAGATCTGAGGTAGAAAGCCTGAATGGATAGCTGATGTAACATTTTATTGGAAATTGCTCAGGACCTAGACTAGTTTAGTGGCTGCAGGAGTAAAAAGAATTGGATGCAAAATTGATAAATTTGGTAAGAGTAAGGGAGGGACAAGTTTAGCTTTCATTGTTTAACTTGGATATTAGCATCTGAGAGACGGCACTATGTATACTGGGTAGTCCCATGTCCCCTCCCTCTCGTTCCCTCCCCAATAATATGGCTGGTATTTATGGATTAAATATATTGTATATTAAAACTATATTCAAATAGTAAGGATATAGTGTGATTAAAGTGTTTTCATTGTCAAAAGCTGCTTGTTACTGGGCCATATTCTCATCAAAGTTGTGTTTACTCTGCTGGTTAAGAACAATGTCAGTAGTTCTTTGACATTTCTTAGAGAAGACCACATTGGAAAAGTCAGTTGTCAGTATATTGAAAGCATTTTGGTTTAACCCTCGCTAAACAGTGCCAACTGTTAGATAGGGTAATGATAGAATATTTCCACTAGGCTCCATATTATTTTTCTATGAATTCATGATTCTTTCTGTTGTTTACTTCTCTCCTGGAGTGTGAATTTAGTGCTCTTGTAAAGGGCTGGACTGGCAGCCCTGCAGCATCTTTTGTATACCCTCAGCACAGATGCACCACAGGTAGTGCCAGTGCCAGCATTCCTACACTGCCCCTGACCAATGCCTCACTCTGACTTGGAGAGGCCACCTCTAGAGGGGAGGGAAGAGTTTGAATCCATGTCTTCCTTTTAAAATTTCAAACAGGTGTGTCAATTGTGAGGGGTGGGTCACTTTATTCAGAATTCAGAGGGTGGTTTTTAACTTCTGTGACAGAGAACAAGCATAAGTAAAAATTGATTTCTCTTCTGCCACAAAGCAAACTTTTTATTATAAACTGATCTATGACCAGCTGAATTTGAACAAATAAACTAGAGGTGAGAATATCTGTATGCCATTATCCAGTCATTTAGTCTTCGTTTGTCATTTACACATTTCAGTTGACTGTACTAGTCATTGTGCATCATGGCTTTAGTTATGTAGTGAATTAGGCATCTACAGACATTTAAATTGTAAAATGGGACTTATGCACTTCTTTTATTTTATTCTTAGGTTCAAGTTTACCTCAGAAAGTTTTAGGACCAACCGAAGAAATAAGTGGTAAGAAACATACAGAAGACACTGTGTCTGTGGCATCATCTTTACATTCTAGTCCTCCTGCATCTCCTCAAGGTTCCCCTCGCAAAGGTAAGACAGACATTTCAGGCTTGTTCTTGTTAAACTGAACAGCACTTTCTAGCACATATTTTGCTTTTTAGTCCATAAATAAATGAATAATAGAAAAGTGTAACTGTGGGCTGGGGTTGTGGCTCAGCAGTAGAGCGCTCGCCTAACAAGTGCGAGGCCCTGGGTTTGAACCTCAGCACCACATAAAAAATAAATAAGTAAATACAATAAAGGTATTATAACCAACTACAAGTTAAAAAAAAAGAAAAGTATAACTGCTAAGAGTTACTTTTTGAACTTTGCTATTTCTTATTGAATTATTCAAACAACTTTTCAGTTGTTATACATCATGTAACTGGGACTCCAGAATTCAGAGGGTGGTTTTAATTTCTGTGACAGAGAGCAAGCATAAATAAAAATAAAGGCAGAAGTCACAGGTTTTTTGATCTGTGCCAGTTATTGATGTTACTTTCTAAATTTTCGGTATTCAAACATTTCATTGGAGCATTTGCCAATAAAAATATCTACAATAATATTTTTAACCAAGATGTAGAAAAAGAAACAGATATTTAAGGTAACTTCTTTTTTTTTTTTTTTTTAGCAATAGCATATTACCTTTTTATGAATCAAGATTTAAAACAGATACCTTTATAGATTTTACATTTATACTTATATAGAACCTAACGAGGTAAAAAATCTGACATCCTTCTTGTTCTTTTACATGTGTTTTTATACTAAAAAGAAATTGAGACCAGAGCTTTTCTTGGCTAGCCTGGACAGTACCTATGGAGATTCCATTTCATGTTAACTGCACATGTAGCATTCTAGATAGGGTGTGTATTTCTTACATTGGCCCCTGTACCCTCTGTTTGTACCCTGGAAGAAAAAGCTCCCTAATACTGGGATCTTTACAGATATACAAGAATTAGAATCTTTAAATAATTACAGCTTAAGATGGCATATAAGCAGAGGGGGAGACAAGTTTTTTAATTCTAGCAGGAGGGAGAAGCTTCCAGACTTTGCCTCAGCTCCCATGTTCTGAGTTACATCTCATTCTTCAGGGCTTTTTCTTATTTTTGCCACCTTATGTAGCAATGATGTCAGATCTGAGTTGAATCCTGATTCTGTCCCCTGCTATTATCTGTGTTACAGTGTATAACTTATTTATAGGGTCAGGTTTTCTCTCTGAAAGACAGGGGGAAAGACCATCTATTTCAGGGTCCTCCAAGGTTTAAATGTAATAATATTTATAAAGTCATATGTGCTAAAAAGTAGTGTCTCTTTTCTTTCCCTGCTGCCAACCCAGGACAACTAGCTTCATTACTCACCTGACCTTTCTCACATAGCTGAAACTGGCTAGAATTTTCATTCAGATTTTACCAGGGAAAGCTTCATGAAAATCAGAACATATAAGCAGCATATATACAGTAGTTGTGTTTATAAACACATATTTCTCATACTGTTGTGACATACACATGATTTTTTTTTGAGGCACATAGACCTGATCCCATCTCCTTTTCTCCCTTGTCCCATCCAGAGTGCCTTTGTCAGATCTGGCAGCAGCGCCTGCAGCCAGACAAATAATCCTCATAAACAGTGCCTGTGTGCTAATACCCTTGAAGGAGCACTTTACATCCCTCATCCCTTTTGGAAGCTATTCAGAGGTCCATTTCAGACTAGAAAATTCTATAAGCAGAAAGCTAGTTGGATCTGATTCAGTGCTTTATGCCTGACTATAACTTGGGGGAAGAAATATAAGGAACAGGAATACCCCCATTGGCCTTATTCCCAGCAGAAAATCCACTCTCATCATTGAAATAGAAAGGTCTTTTCTGGATTATCTTTCAGTGTGTAGCTGAGAGTTGACTATGATATTTATAGGTTTGTGAACCTATCATAATCATATTTAGAATCCTGAAGAAATTCTCTTGAGCATTATTTCAGTTTGTTGTTGCATATGCTCTGTCAAAACCTCAACTGAGGCACAGGGGTTGTGGCTCAGCAGTAGAGCACCTGCCTAGTGTGTATGAGGTGCTGGGTTCAATCAAGCCTTAGCACCACATATGAATAAATAAAGATAAAGGTATTGTGTCCACCTACAACTAAAAAAATATTAAAAAAAAAAAAAAAAACTCAGTCGGGCATGGTGGCACCTGCCTATAATCCCAGCAGCTAGGGAGGCTGAGGCAGGAGGATCACAAGTTCAAAGCCAGCCCCTGCAACTTATTGAGGTCCTATGCAAATTAGCAAGACCCTGTTTCAAAATAAAAAGGGCTGGGGACGTGGCTCCTGGGTTCAGTCTCCAGTACACACACACAACACGCACATGCACGCACGCACACACACACACACACATATAAATAACTCACTCAACTGAATATGATATTTCCATAGACAGGTTTTTGCCAATTATCTGTCATTACACTAAATATGCTATTAGGATCCATTCTTAGTTTTATCTCGATTCTGGAATTATTTGTTTTCTGTTTTTCTCCCCTTCTTTCCTTGTGCTACTAAGGATTGAACCCACTGGTGCTCTACTGCTCAACTACATCCTCACTAATTTACGTAGATTGGCTTTGAACTTATGATCCTCCTACCTCAGCCTCCTGAGTAGCTGGGATTACAGATATACACTACCATGCCTGGCTTGAAATTAGTTGTTTTCTAACAATTAATAAAATAATTCTGTTTCATATTTTCGTAAGAAGAAGTTAAACAAGTAAGCACTTTTAAAAGAGGGAAGTCAAGAGACTTTAAGCATTTTATAATCTTCCTCAGCACTTAAGAAAGGCAACCTCTCCACCTTAGAGCCACAGCAGCATCAGAAATGATGCTTTGTAAATATACGTGTTAATATGTATTATTTTTGTGTTCCATTTGGTTTTTACTAAGCTTTTTCTTAGTAAAATCTGCTGGAAAATTCTAGACAGGCATAATTTCTTTTGAGAAATAGTTCTGGTTACCTGTTACTCTAGTCATATATTTTCTGATGATTTGACCACCTTGGTTTACTTTCAATACTGTTACCACCAGCCTGTTCTGATCAAGATAATCTTTCTCCTGTGTCTTATTATAATAACAATGTGTTTATGCTATATAATACATTTTTATGCTATATAATACATTTTTATGCATTAAAAGTATTTTTGCTAGATTTCCGTTTTGCAGATGTTATCAAGATAATAAATTTTTTAGTAGGCTGATTGTAATTAATTGGAAAGAATTAATTGACCATGTCAGGGTTTTTGCATTTCTCCCTCCAGTTGGCAGTATCATATCTGATCACAGCATCCTCCTGCGCCTCTCAGGGCCTTGCTCATCCCCTCCCTGTGAGTCCAGCACCGAGATCAGTGGCCAGAACTGCCCCGGAATAGGTGGGGTTTACTTGCAAAAGAAAATCCTTCAGATTACCAGGAGCACAGCCAAAAGAACAGACAGGATCAAGAAGGCCACTGAGGAGAATAGAGACAGGACAAGTTGTGAGAACACAACCAGAAAAAGAATGACATCCCCGTTTAGAAGATTTAGGGAAAGAACTCTTTCAAGGGAGAGACTAGTCAACAGCCAAAAAGAGGACACAGATCACAATCAAGCTACAGACAGCTGTGAGAAAGTGAAGGATGTTGGAAGCAACATCAAAGATGAGAAAGGGAGTGACATCTTCAATTCAAATAGCCGAGGCAACAGTAATATTTTAAACTGCTTCCATACGCGATTCAAGTCTAAAAGGAGGAAGACACTCTGACGAAGTTCCTTATTACAGTGTTAAATTTGTTTTCAGTTATTAATGTAAATGTAGCTTGAATTAAGCCACTTGGAGAGACAACTTAGTAAGATGCTATTAATAAGCATTTTATGATTAGTATTACAGGTCCTCTTACAACAAAGTAATCTTGATTAAAAGTGCCTTATTTGTACATGTTATTTTACTAATGTATTGAGTTAGTAAATGTTATACACTTGTTTTCTGTAGTTGGCTTTATTTCTTACAGCTGGGTCTGTGAGCGAAATAAATATAGAAGCTTTTCAGGAATTAGTGTTCATTTTCGCCATAAAACCCCTGGTAAAAATCTGATTTGATTATTATTTTTTTAATTATCTGATGGTTATTTCTCTTTGCCTTAGAGAATTTTATTGACATCTTAGTACTCCCTACAGCATTATAAGCTAATGGACAAAGATGTTTTTAGGAGGCAAGAAATTGGATCTTTTTCGCATCCATTTTTTGTATTATCTGTCTTTCACATATCTCTGATTGTGAAAGGAGGAACTGATCTAACAGTAGGTTCAAAGCCATTTGGGAAACTTGTTTAAAACTGTATAAATAAGCTAGGTGCAGTGGCGCATACCTGTAATCCGGTGGCTCAGGAGATGGAGGCAGGAGGATTGAAAGTTCAAGCCAGCCTCAGCAATTTGGTGAAGTACTAAGTAACTCAGTGAGACCCTGTCTAATAAAATACCAAATAGGGCTAGGGATGTGGCTCAGTGGTCAAATGCCCCTAAATTCAATTCCCAGTACCAAAAAAAAAAAAAAGAAATTATATTACTATGCCCCACCTAGACTTCATAAGTTGCCAGAAGTGGGCATGGGAATGTGTATCTTAGTAAGCTTTCCAGGTGATTCTTGAAATACATTATATTTGAGAAATAACTAACACACAAGGATGAAATTATTTTTAAAAAGTGAGTCAAGTGTGTTCCAAGAATAAAAGAGCAATGATTTTTCTTTTAAGGAAGTTTTTTTATTTTTTTATTTTATTTACCTTATCCATTTTATTGATCCTCTTGAAAATTGATCAGTTTATGGGCATTAGCAAATAACAATGATCCTCAAGATCAAAGATGTGCAACTCAGGAGGCTAGCTTGTCTTGACTTAACCTGGTTCTTGGGCCCCTAAGCCATGGGTTAATTGCACATTTCCTGGGGCTTGATACTTCTCCTTGAAATAGTTAATGAGGCCATTAATGTGATTATTGCACAACACATTTTTTCTTGAATGACTACAGTCATGGGTGAATAAACTCCCAAGAGTTTTAATTCAGAAAAAGATCTTGGAGCTTAGGTAGTTGACTTCCTCTCTGTATGTATAAGAAAGCTAAGGCTCTGAAAATGCTAGTAACATACCTGAGGGATTGGTCCAAGGTCATATCCTGTTGGATTGGTCCAAGGTCATATACCTGTTGAACCTCACTCCATGAACAAGAAGATACTGTTTGCTTTCTAGAGACCTGCCCCCTTGTTGGGTCACTTCCTTTCAACTTTGTTTTTGGATCCTTTTACCTCATTCCATCCTTACCCTTTTAACCCAAAGAATACAAAAGAAAATCTGGCTGTCTGCTATGCAGTAAGTCACAGAAGAATTTAAAACATGTAGTCACTGTTTTGTTTTGTTTTTTCCATTATATATTTTTCTAAATCTATCTGTTCAGCTGTTGAATATTCTTCAAAGAAATGAAGAAAAAGGAAAGTAGGTATATAATTAAGTCCAATCCAAAACAATCTTTAAAAATATGGAAACAGGACTGGGCTTGGTGATGCATACCTATAATCCCAGCAACTCAGGAGGCTGAGTCAAGAGGATTATAAGTTCAAGGTTAGCCTCAGCAATTTAGCAAGATCCTATCTCAAAAAATAAAAAGGACTGTGGATATAGCTCAGTGCTAGAATGCCTCTGGGTTCAGTCCCCAGTATAAATAATAGTATTAATAATAATGATGAAAAAAATAATAATGATGTTGAAACATAACTGGGGGTATGGCTCAGTAGTAGAGCTTTTGCCTAGAGTGTGGAATTCCTGGGTTTCATCCTCAGCATCACAAAAAAAATCAAATACTGAAACAGTGATTCTCAACTCGGAGCAAGACTTCTTAGGTGGCATAACCAGAACATCTTTGGTAAGTATATGTAGTTTGAAAAAGCAAAAATGTAGTCCTGACTTCCACCTTTACCTCAAGGTAGTATTTTGGATTTAAATCAGGCCAGGAAATATTTGTGTTAATCAAAGGAAGAGGGCGTAGGGCTAAAAAGAAATTGAGAAACTCTATTATGTGTACTTCTTAATATTTGTAATGTACTTAATGCTTTTTTGTTTTATTAAATACTTGTGACTGTGTGAGAGCCTAGGCCAGATATACCCTTGGACAAATTCTTAGTAATGCTGGATTTTGACTTTGCTCTTGAATTTAGAGTATTGGTGAGATGTGGGATAAGTAGGTTAACAGATATTTAGGGAAATATGTGGAGAAATTGGGCACTATTACATCTATATAGATATTTATATTTTTCTTTGTCCTCTCCCTGACTACTCCCACTCATATTCCTTTGAAGTTTGATTAGAGATTTGGTTTGTTTGTTTTTTCCATTCAGGTTATGCACTTATACCATCAGCTAAATCGGACAACTTGTCGGACTCCAGCCATAGCGAGATCTCTTCACGGTCCAGCATCGTGAGCAATTGTTCTGTTGACTCCATGTCTACAACTCTACAGGATGAACGATGTTCTCAGACCATGGCAATCCCTGAATCCACTGGGACATTGGAAAAGACAGAGCACTCCTCAGGGATAGGAGACCATACTCAGCTTGGTCCTGGGTAAACCATCCTTATCTATGTTCAAATTATAAAACCTTAGCCAAGAGGCCATCAATCATTAAGCAGCATTCCCCATCTTAACCCTGTACCTTCCCTAAGTGGGAAAGTCACAAGACATTCCGTAAAAGAATATGAAGGTCAAGCACATATTCTCTATGCCGAATGTGGAAATAAGTACATTTTTAAAGATGTGTAGATGATTTCTTTTTCTTTTTGTGGTACTAGAGATTGAACCCCAGGACACTTTACCCCTGAGGTGCACCCCAGCCCTTTTTTATATTTTATTTTGAGACAGGATCTTGCTAAGTTACTGAGGCTAGCCTCAAACTTGCCATCCTCCTGCCTTAGCCTTCCCTCCCTGCTAGGGATGCTTATTTTTAAAGTGTTACTGACTTGAAGTAACTTCTAAATGATAGAAGTTACTAGGGCTCAGGATTTAACCCAATGGTAAATTTGCATGGTAGAGTGCTTACTACGTAGCATGTTCAAGGCTATGGGTTGGATCCCCAGCAACACCACCCCTCTCTTCCCCCCCCCAAAAAAAAAAAAGAAAAAGAAACTGGCTTTTAGTTTAAGGGTGTCTCGAAAATTATGTAATAGAAAGTACACCCTCACCAGGTGTGTTGGCACATGCCTGTAACCTGTAATCCCAACAACTCCGGAAGTTGAGGCAAGATGATGACAGGTTCAAAGCCAGCCTCAGCAACTTAGTAAGGCCCTAAACAACTTACTGAGACCCTGTCTCAAAAGTCTAAAAAAAAGCTGGAAGAATAGGAGAGGTTGGGGATGGAGGCTCAGTGGTTTAGTGCCCCTGGGTTGAACCCACAGTACCAAAAAAAACATGTACACCCAGTGTTGTACGTATCATAGACAGGTTGGGAAAGTGGTATCAGTCCTTAATCTTGTTTTCTGATATCATGATTTGAATAAGAATAAAGACCTTAAAAGAGCGTACTACAGGGATACTGCTACATCGATGTTCATAGCAGCACAATTCACAATTGCTAGACTGTGGAACCAACCCAGATGCCCTTCAATAGATGAATGGATAAAAAAAAATGTGGCATTTATACACCATGGAGTATTACGCAGCACTAAAAAATGACAAAATCATAGAATTTGCAGGGAAATGGATGGCACTAGAGCAGATTATGCTTAGTGAAGCTAGCCAATCCCTAAAAAACAAATACCAAATGTCTTCTTTGATATAATGAGAGCAACTAAGAACAGAGCAGGGAGGAAGAGCAGGAAGAAAAGATTAACATTAAACAGATACATGAGGTGGGATGGAAAGGGAGAGAAAAGGGAAATTGCATGGTAATGGAGGGAGACCCTCATTGTTATACAAAATTACATATAAGAGGTTGTGAGGGGAATGGGAAAATAAACAAGGAGAGATATGAATTACAGTGGATGGGGTAGAGAGAGAAGATGGGAGGGGAGGGAGGGGGGATGGTAGAGGATAGGAAAGGTAGCAGAATACAACAGTTACTAATAGGGCATTATGTAAAAAGGTGGATGTGTAACCGATGTGATTCTGCAATCTGTATTTGGGGTAAAATTGGGAGTTCATAACCAACTTGAATCTAATGTATGAAATATGATATGTCAAGAGCTTTATAATGTTTTGAACAACCAATAAAAAAAATTAAAAAATTGCAACGTTAAAAAAAAAAAAGAATAATGAGCTATCAAAGATTAATTTTTTAAAAAAAATTTTAACTCCAGTATGACTGGGTAACAAGAAGTCCCAATTATGTACACCTATAGTACACCAATTAAAAAAATGTAGAAAGAGAAAAAAAATTAACTTCCAATTTCTCTTTAGAATCTTCCAATTTCTTTTTAGAATCAAGCAAAATAGAAATCTTCAATAAAGCATCAAAAAGCTTTAAAGTGATTATTGTTAAGCTTCATCTACTTTAATATCTATTTTAAGGTATATTCTAGATTTCATAGAGTAAGTATTTTTATAAAAATTAGGGTTTTCTTTTTTTTTTTTTCCTTGTTTGTTTTTTGTTACTGTTGTTTTGTTTTTTTCCTGTCCTGGGGTCTAACTCAGGGCCCCAGGTATACTAGGCAAGCTCTCTACCACTGAACTACATCCCCAGCCCCAAATTCTAAATATTTTAGATGTCACAGACCATAAGATCTCTGTTACAACTACTTTGCCTTTATTGTTAACACCAAAACAGCTGTAGCCAATACATAAGCAAATCGGCATGACTATTTCCCATAAAACTTTATTTTTTTTAATATTTTTTAGCTGTAGTTGGACATAATATCTTTATTTTATTAATTATTTTTATGTGGTGCTGAGGATCGAATCCAGGGCCTCACACATGCTAGGCAAGTGCTCTACCTCTGAGCCACAATCCCAGCCCCCAATAAAACTTTATTTACAAAACTAGGCAGAGGACTGGATTTGACCTTGGCCTGTAGTTTGTTGACCCCTTTTCCATATTATAAATCAAAGGTTCGCAAATATTTTGTGAAGGACTAGATAGGAAATATTTTAGACCAGCAGGCTGCATATGGTTTTATTTAAGCCCTTTAAAATATAAAAAACCGTTCTTTGCTCCAGACCATACAAAAAAAAAAAAATGAGCTGTTAGCTAGATTTGGCCAATCAGCCTAAGTTTGAGGATCCCCCCAAAAATGATAGGATTCATTTAATAGATTGTGGGGGAAGTTGCTGTTTCCTTGGTACTATAATAGGCTAACTTCAAATATACCTTGAAAAGTAAAACATGGTTTCTTAAGCTGTGGATTCTTATGTCTGTATTCATTAGAGAAGAGTATATTGAAATAGAATGAAAAGGTTTACTTAATTTTATTCATTTCAAACCTTATCATTGCATTTTTCACTAAAAATGTATTTTTTAAAACTTTTTAGGAAACCTTGCCTAAGCATTTAAGTTTTTTTCATTGTATGTTTCTAGCTGTGTATGTTCTGTGTTTGTTATAGGAGCTTATACTTGGAATAGACAGAAGAAAGATTGCCCAATAAGCCAGTAAATTACTTCTAATTCTGTGTTATCTTCAATTGCAGGTGGATGCTTTCAAAACCATCTTTAATCAAGGGTTTAGCTGTCTCAGCTTCTATGAGCAATGAAGAGATTTCTCATGAGCATGTTGTTATTGAAGCAGCTGATAGTGGTCGTGGAAGTTGGACTTCCTGTTCAAGCAGCTCCCATGACAACTTTCAGAGCCTTCCAAACCCAAAAAGCTGGGACTTTTTGAACTCCTATAGGCATACTCATTTGGATGATCCCATTGCTGAAGTGGAACCCACTGACTGTGAGCCCTACTCCTGTCCTAAAGGCTGCTCTAGAACTTGTGGCCAGTGTAAGGGAAACCTAGAGACTAATCAGTTGAGACAAAGTTGGGCCTCCTCCAGTTCTCTCTCTGATACATATGAACCAAATTATGGGACAGTTAAACGGAGAGTATTGGAGAGCATCCCCACTGAGTCATCTGATAGCTTGGACCCAAAGGATGCCACTGACCCAGTTTATAAAACTGTCACTTCAAGCACAGAAAAGGGCTTGATTGGTAAGTTGTGTGCTTTGTTGTATACTTGGTATTCAGAGATTGTGGCAAAAAATAATATTAATAAGGCAGTGGAATATATTGGCCAGGATTTTATTCTTGGAAAAAATCATTCTCTTTGTCCCTAAAATTCATGGTTTCTCAAGAGTTTTGGAGCAGATATTCTAGCCATTAAAATAAAAAGTCTGGTGAGAAAATATGTAGTTAAGGAAATACATTTGACATGTTTTATTTTTTAAGATATTTTTGGTTCATTGAAGAATATCATCACATTACTATACAGTAGTAATAAAGATATTATTCTCTTTGTTATAAGGGGAAGAAATTATTTGGACCACAACTGCTAGGCATACATGGTAGAAACATTTATTCTTCTTGTTACTTTTAGGTAGTAAAAGTGAGAGGGGGAAATATGAGTGAGCTTAGTGGTAGAGCATATGCTTAGCATTCAGGAGGCCCTGGGTTCAATCTTCAGCACCATGAAAAAAGAAAGAAATCAATCTGAAACATTTTTCACTATACCTTCCTTTTGCATATCATTAGTGTACAAAATCATTTGGGAATTTCATTCTAGGCTTTCTTAGTGTATTTAGCCATCAAATAATATTTTTGAAAAATGTATTCCCTGAATTATATAAATATTTGAATAGTCCCTGCTTTTCTACATATGTGGAATGACTATTTGTTAAATCTATATTATTCATGATCAGTTCTTAATTCTATGACATAGTCATGATATCACATTTAATTACTAAAGTGTGCTTATTTTATAGTCACTTGTTAAATTGCACTATAGATTGGGTGTTTAGCTCTCATTTTGCGTGTGCGTCGGGGCGGTGGGGCGGGGGGGGGGGGTTGCTGGGGATTGCACCCAGGGCCTTGAGCATGCGAGGCAAGCACTCTACCAACTCAGCTATATCCCCATCCCCTAGAGACAGGGTCTCACTGAGTTGCTTATCACATTGTTTTTCCTAAGGTTGGCTTTGAACTTGCTATTCTCCTGTCTTAGCCTCTTAAACTGCTGGGATTACAGTTGTGTGCCACCACACCTAGCTAAAGTCACCATTAATTTTTAATGTCCACTGAAAATCAGAGAAATTTAATTTAAGATAAATTTTCTAAGATTATGTTTTTTTTTCTTCTCTATTTAATCCAAAAGCAGAAGTTAGAAGTAAGGTCCTAAAAAAAAAAGATGAGTTCATCTTTATGGGTAAAGTTAAATTTGTCCACATGCTTGATGGAGAACTAATCTGCCCAGTAGTACCACAGAACAGTGGTTCATGTCTCCAGGAAAGGGTGAAACAGCTCTCCAGCAACCCCAAACATCTTTTGAAAACTCGACTAGTCAACAGAGAATGATGGTTAGGGTGAACTTTTAAATGTTTGTCGTCTTTAGGACTAGTGTTAGTACAGGATGTGTCTCACACTTCTGTGATGTGAGTGCTAAACTGTAGAAGAAAGTTTATCATCAATATCATCTTCAGCACACTCTTTGAATGTTTATAAAACTTAACGTAATTGTATTTTAATGTAACCTGTGTTTTAAAACAGGTTTCAGTATTGTTTATTAAGGTAATCTGCTGTCATTATATTTAAATTTATTTTATCCATTTTAAGTTCTTTTGTCATCATAATAAGTTTCTGTGTGTGTTATTTCTACATTTTTCATTAACATTTCCACTGCTTATTTTTCATGCCAGTGTACTGTGTAACTTCACCCAAGAAGGATGATAGGTATAGGGAGCCACCTCCTACTCCTCCAGGATATATGGGAATTTCTTTAGCGGACATAAAAGAAGGACCCCACCTGCACCTAAAACCTCCAGATTATAGTGTGGCAGTGCAAAGGTCAAAGATGATGCATAACAGCCTTTCTAGACTGCCACCAGCTTCTCTCAGTAGCAGCCCTGTGGCGTGTGTTCCATCGAAGATTGTAACTCAGTCTCAGAGGCATAATTTGGAGCCATCCCATCCTAAACTAGCAGATGTGACTGATGCAGATAGTGAAGCAGATGGTATGTTGACAACCTACCTTAATGGGTCTTAAATGAATTGCTGAATTAATAGAAAATGATTTTTACTTTGGCTCTTTTGTGGTAATTAATGTTTTTTTTTAATACCTTAAAAATCTCTATCTAAAAAAATAAGAAATCCCTAAACATGATTGTATGTTTTGTTTTGTTTTTTTAAATAGAGATGCAAGCTGCTCTTTTTTGTGATCCCAGTACCTTTCTGCTGGGTCCCAATGGAGTATTCTTATGTTTGATAGAACAGCAACTTAGTCTAATAGGATAATTTTGAGAGGAAACACTTGACATCAGTAGAGTTGTGATTTACATCAACACATGGAAGTGTTTCAAATGCCAAATTGTCTGAAATTATGTTATTGATACAGTTCCTCTTATTTGCAATATCCTTGACTGACTTTGTACCTGTGGTAATAATTTGAAAAATAATTGGCTTTCTTAAATCAAGTTTTTTTGTTTGTTTTTTGTGGTACTGGGGATTGAACCCAGGAACTGTATCCTCAGTCTTTTTTATTTTGAGACAGGCTTCTCACTATATTACCCAGGTTGGCTTCGAATTTTGCAATCCTCCTGCCTCAGTCTCCTGAGTAGCTGGAATTGTAGACATGTACCACCACACTCAGCAGAAATAAATGAAGTTTTATCCTTTTGAACAGTAAAATAATAAAATTAATTAAAAACATTTATGAAATTCCAGGTTTTTTTCACCCTTTGTTGTGATCAGAAGTGTCATTACAATAAAATGTGGGCCTTGATGGGCTGTTAAGGATTTTTTTGTTGAAACTGATAAATTTTCTAACAGCAACAGATCACTAGATTATTACTCAATCTTCATTAACATGCTGATCTGCTATTTGTGGGTTTTTTTAATTTTCAGAAAATGAACAGGTGTCAGCTGTCTGACCATTGGATGACCCTTTTGAAGACCACCAAAAGTTTTGAAGAAGTGGACAGAAACCCTGATGATTCTGCAGGTCATTGCCAACAAATAGCTTACTGCTACTAACCCAGAGGTTTCATTCCTTATACTATGAGCAGTGAGATAGACCTGAGTGGTACTTGCTTTCATTTAATCTCTGAAGATGCAGTTTCCTCAGCTATTAATGCTGTGCCTGGATACCATTCTGCACTTTGTACACCATACCTGCCTTGGGACCACATTACAGAACCAATCCAAACTCAAGAGTCATCCCCATGTATATCACTGTAGATTTTCCTTTCACAAATTATTTTAAAGGTAGTGGTATTGTTATTTCCAAGCCATAGCTTGGACTAAAGGACAAATTCAAAATGTCTGCCAATATCAAGCTTTCTCTTGTATATTTAAAAAGTAATTTATTATTTAAAGTGTTGTGATTTTGTTTGTATGTGGGAGCCATTGTTAGATGATGTTTGTTTGAGGTGATAAAACTGTCTCTGGTCTGACTAAACAGAAGTCATCTTTGTAAAGATGCTGTGCTTGATCTATATGGAGATGTAACTTGATCTGAGCACCAATGTGATGGGGGGGGGCGGGGGACGGGTTCAGTTTGAGTAAACTAAGAAGCCCTTTGCAGTGGAAATGTTAGGAACCTTCTAGATCATGGTGTGAAATGAAGTTGCCACAGGGTTTCTTGTCAGACCTTTGGGAAAGGGGAGGGGAGGTAAAATGATAGGTGGAACCTTAATTTCCAAAGACTAATTCTTTCTGAAGTGAAAGTCATGCTGCATCTAATTATAAACTAAAAGTAAACCTAATAGAGAATGAGTTCTAGAGAATTCTACTCTAAGGAAACCCTAAACTAAAATTTCTGACAACTCAAGTATGGAGTTCATTTTTAAAAGAAGTATAATCATAGATGTTGTAATCATGAAGATGAATTTGCCCTTATGCATTGTCCTGCTACATATCCCACATCTCTCAGCACAAATTGCATCTAATCTTAATAAAACATGCAGCTCTGAGCCATCTCAGTAAAGCTCAGTAGCCCACCAAGGTACATAACTGGTTGAAAACTCTGTGGGAGAAAGAGGAGCTAGAAATGTAAAAATGATTGTCTCTTGGTTCTCATTTTAGCCCTTGAGGGACGTAGCTTTCTGGCCTCTTGGGCATGGCATTCTTAATTTAAATATTTAATTAAAATTCCAGTGACTATTTGCTGTATGAAGTAGATTTTTCACATTTTTTACAAATTAAATATAATGTTTTCTACTTGTATTTAAATTTTTTTCATTTGTTTTTTAATGTAAAGGCAAATGGGATTTTCATAAACTTCTGTGATAACCAAAAAAAAAAAAAAAGGAAGAAAAGGAGGGGAGAAAAAAAAGCCAAAGCCATTAAGGTGCACTATCCAAATCAACTTGGAGCCTAAGGATTTACTTCAAAATGGTTCTCCATATGTGACCATATAGGATTTAGTTAGTGACTTCTTTTTTAAGAATCTGTATTTTTTTCCTAGCTTTCTTTCTCTCTTATTTTCTTGCCTGTCTCCTTTATTAAAATTATAAATGAATTCCAGGTGATAAATCATAGCAATTCATTTTTCCCATCAAAATGATGATCTCCTGGGGGGGGGGGTGGGACATTAAGCTGAAACTTAAGCCTTAGAGATTAACCCCAGTATGTTAAAATAAAGCTAGATGGCTTCATAGCTTTCTTGGTTCTTTGAAGAGAAAAGTGAATCAAAAATCCTGGCTTGAAAGTCACACTCTAGTAATTTGGTCTATAAATAGTGGTTCTCTGATTATAAATTTTTTATTCTGTGATTTACATAACATCCTTTTTGTGTCCTCAGCAAAAAAAAAGAAAGAAAGATATTTTTGCTATAACCACCTTTTTATCAAGTTTGGGTATTTATTCTCACCATTTTATATCCATTACTCCAGAAAAAAAATATGTGCTATTTGCACAGCATCTGTTTATTTAGCAGGTCTTTCAAACCAAATGGAAGCCTTACTGTGTTTGTTCTTAGTGGTGTAAATAATACCTTGCTCAGAGAGTTGAGGCCTGTGGTTTTGGACTTGCACCATGTAGCTGCCTTTGTTGTATTTAGCTTTAACTGTGAGTGGATCAGCTGATCACATTGATCAGGAACTAAAACCAAATGCTTTGTAGTTTGATAAGTATAAATCCCTTACAAAATCATGAACTATTGACTTCTTTCAAAATTTAGGGTACATTTCTCAGTCTTGTCTTAGTTTCTTATATGACTAGAATGGGGAAGCCTTAACCTGTCCTTGCTCCAGTTCCAAATCCCTTTTTGTGTTTGTTTTATAAATTTAAACTTCATTGAAAAGACTAGTGCCCACTCTTCCCACCACAACTCTACATCTGCCAAAACTTGTAAAACAGTAAACCTTGAGTGTAAACTTTTGCCAAATGTTAAATTTCAGCAGAATCTCTTCTTATGCAAGATTTGGAGAATTAGTAAATCCAGTATATAGTTCCATTAAAGTTTATTGTAATTAACAGATTCTCATTTCCTCGAATAATGATTTCAAGATGATCTTTGGGGAGAAGAATCTTTTAATGGTGATAAGTTTTCGTGAAGGTGATAAGTCAGATAGATCATTGTCATCTATGTCACCTTCCTGAGCATCTCTCCTAGACAGGAAATGCAGCAGTAATCATGGGGATTTCTAAGAATGAACTTAGAAATGTGTTATTTATAAAATATTCTTTCCCCTGCCCCACCCCCCAAAAAAGTGGAGCAGGGGGAGTTTCTTTGTATAGTTAAAACAGTGATTGTTATTTGGATACAAAATATTATGTTAAAGTGTTTGTATCCCTTGAGCATTACTTAAAGGCTAGGGAAAAAAAAGGATGACTCTTCAGAAAAGTGTCAAATACATTTTTTAAATTTAAACTTGAACCCCAATTCATCTTTAGCTTTTGTTGTGCTTCTTTTAAGGCTTCTTTATTTTTGATATACAGAATGCGGTTACACTTGATCTTTTAAATTGAAACGGTAAGCTTATCAGCAAAAGACAAAAACAAAATTGCACCATTGTAATTATCAAAATAGCAACTATACTGCACAATTCAGTGATTGTAAGGTATCCTATAACAAGCAATGTTTGTCTCCTATTTTTTGATACCTCTTAAACTTATGTCTTTTAGAAAGACAGTGCCTCTGTATGCTTTTTGTATTTTTACTGAGTGTAAATATTTGTTATATTTTTGGTTAAGAGAATGTAAAAGTACCATTTATTATTACCATATCTACTGATAACATTGGTGGAATCAATAAAGAGTCTACATTAACCTTCTCTGTACTTTATTGCAAATGTATGGAATAGATGAAATAATTACACGTGTGCACTCAAGAGTGCTGTTCTGGGATCTGTGTTGGTTAGAAGGCGGCCTTATGTTTTTAAGTGTGCAGAGAAATTGAAGTGGTCTGTTTTTGTTGATCATATGGAATCTGTGAAACAATGGTTTGTTTAGGTTAAAGTTGTATCTTGATTACAAACCAATTAAGAGTGACTTAAACTCCATTAGGGATTGTTTTTCTTTTATAACAGAAAAGTCACCAGACAAACTGTTCAGGGCTGATATAGTAACTCTACAGTGCTGTAAGGGACTTGGAGAACCTGACAGACCCCAAGGAGTCACCTCAGTACTTCAGGAAGGGAAGAACTTAGAGGAAAATAAACAAATGTATGTCTCTTTTTATTAGCAAAGCGAAAGGTTTTTCAGAAGTTCCATTTGTGTATTTCTACTTAACATCCCATCAAAACTGCTGTATGACCTCTGAGGAGATTAGGGAAGTGATCTGATCTGAGCATTTGATACCCCAAACAAAATTGGAGTTCTTTTCAGTGAAAAAGGAAAGAATGGGTATCAACTGGGCAGCATACTACTGCCAACTCCTTTGGACAAGTATGTGGTAATGCAGTCTTTTTATGGGACAGGGTCCTGTTGAGGAAGAAGGAAATTGTGCTTCAGCACCCCTTTGTAAAATCTCCAGTCATCCCTCTGAATCCAGAGAATGTTACTCCTATAGTAACCAAGTCTTCTTAGTTCTCCCTTTTCAACATATACACCACGTTTTCCCAGGCTGTTTTTTCCCCAGACAGGCTCTCTAGTCTCTCTAGTTTTTTCTTCGATTTAGAAAATATTAAACACAAATGAAGTTAGCTGGATAACAGCTAGCCAAAAGCATTATACCCTGTCCAGGAATTTGTAAAAGTTACTTTATTTGGGAGAAGAATCTAGATGTAATAATTAAACACTTTGGGGATAAGATTACTTTGGATTATCTGTTGGGCCTAAATGCCAGCAGAAGCGTCCTCATAAGAAAAAGAAAAAGAAGGGAAATACACAGAAGAAAAGCCATAATGAAGACAGAGCAGACAGATGTAGCCACAAGTTAAGTAATGCCAACAGCAGGAAATGGAAGAGATGGAGAGTTCTAGAGCCTCCAGGGGATGTGCTGCCCTGCTGACCTCTTCATTTTGGACTCTGGCCTTGAGAACTTTGAGATAATACATTTCTACTGTCTTAAGCCACCCAGTTTTTGATAATTTTTTAATAGTTCTAGGAAAATAACTTTATTTGCCTATTTTGGGGGGACCCAGACCCTGTAGTTCAGCAATGTGGTGATCTATAAGCAAACCTCAGGAACCTCCTTCAACTCTCCCCACTCCCAGGAAGCATGTGATTAATCTAGGAGAGAGAACTGGTTGTCACAGAGATGGTCTCCACCACAGCCTAGTCAGCCTATTGTTTTTCTCCCTTTCAAGGTACGTATGTACCAGTATTGTGATTTTAATTGTAATTTCCATAATGATTGATTAATAATATGCATCTTTTCAAATACTTATTGGCTATTTGGATACTATTGCAAAGTGTTTAGGTTTTTGTTTTCTATTTGTTAAAATATATGAATGCATAATTAACTTATAATGAGCTTATATATCTAGCAATCTTGCAATGTCCACTTAGAATCTAACACTTGGGGGCTGGGAATGTGGCTCAAGTGGTAGCGCGCTCGTCTGGCATGTGTGTGGCCCGGGTTCGATCCTCAGCACCACATACCAACAAAGATGTTGTGTCTGCCGATAACTAAAAAAATAAATAAATATTTTTTAAAAAAAAGAATCTAACACTTTATGGATTCTTTTGGATTATTCTGCATGCTTAAATGCTCATAAAAACCTTATTTCTGGCCATTTTACATTTTTTTCTTATTACATTGACCAAAATATTCAGTTCTGTGTTAGGGAGAAGTGGTCAGAGTGGAATTCCTATCTTTGTTCCTGATCTCAGGGAAATCTTTCAGAAATCACCTTTAAGCATGCTGTTTGCTGTGGTGTTCATGAGTTTAAGGAAATCCCCTTTTACTTATATTTTGTTAAAAAGGATTTATGATTTAGCCAGCCATGGTGGTACACAACTATAATTCCAGCAAGTCAGGCAGCTGAAGCAGGAGAATCACAAGTTCAAAGCCAGCCTCGGCAGTTTAACAAGATCCTGTCTCAAAAAGGACTGGGGAGGACTGGGGGTTGTACCTCAGTGCTTGCCTAGCATATGTGAGTCACTGGGTTCGATCCTCAGCACAACATAAAAATAAATAAAGGTGTTGTGTCCATCTACAACTAAAAAATATATTTAAAAAAAAAAAAGACTGGGGATACAGCTCAGTGATAGATTGGCCCTGTGTTCAATTCCTGCTACCACCAAAAAAAAAAAAATTTACAGTTTATTGTCAATCACTTTTCTTGAATCTATTGATGATCCATCAAGTTGTTTTTTCATTATCTGTTACTGTGGTCTTTAAGGGAAGTTTATAGTATTAAATGCATACATGAAAAAGAAAGACTGAATGTTGATTAAGCGTTATTCTCAAGAAACCAAAATAATAACAGAGAATTAAACCTAAATAGGAAATAGTTAATAGCAGAAATTAGTGAAATATATAATATGTCCCCCAAAAAGGTTAACAAACAATAAGTTATTCTTTGAAAAGAATGATAAAATTGACAAACTGTTGGTGATCAACATAAGGAAAAGGACATAATTAATGTCAAGACTGAAGAATAATCATGACTGTAAAGTTTACTAAAGAGAATGACATAGGGATTGATATTAAAACAGTTTATGGGGTGTGGTTCTGTGGTAGAGCATTGGGTTCAATTCTCAGTACCACAGAAAGAACAAAAAGTAACTTACCAAAACTTTAACAAGGAGGGACAAATTTTTGTAGTCCTATAATAAAGAAATTGGACGTAACATTTTTCCATTCCTTGATGGTCTCATGGATAGATTATACCAGAAAAAGAGAAAAAATAACATTGAATTTATATAACAAAATCTTAAATATAGGAATGTCGGAATATCTTAAATAGGAGACAATGCCATCAAAAATAATTAAGTCTCTCTGTTCCTCCCTACTTAACAGACAGCCAGTCGCTGGGTCACTAGGGCTGCTTTCAACTCTAGCACTATTGCCATCAGTGACCCCAACTACACCATTAACATGTCCCAGTATGAGTTCACCCATCATGAGGTCAATGGCACAGTCTAGGATGAGAATAGGAAGCTTGTGGTCAGTGGAAAGTCCATCTCCCAGGAGCGGGATTCCCAGCATCGAAGAGGGTGATGCTGGTGCTGAATGTGTTTTGGAGTCCACTGGTGTCTTCATTACCACAGAGAAGGCTGGGGCTTATTGAAGGGCAGCACCAAAAGAGTCATCATCTCTGCCCCTTTTGCTGATGTCTCATGTTTGTGATGGGTGTGAGCCATGAGAAGTGTGACAGCTTCCCTCAAGATAGTCAGCCGTACCTCCTGCACCACCAACTGCTTAGCCCCCTTGGCCAAGGGCATCCTTGACACCTTTGACGTTGTGGGAGAACTCATGACCACAGTCCATGCCATGACTGCTGGGGCTGACATTGCCCTTAACGACCACTTTGTCAAGTTCATTTTCTGGTATAACAATGGGATGGTGGACCTTGTGGTCCCCATGGCCTCCAAGGAGTTGAGTCCGCAGACCACCTACCCCAGCATGAACACAGAGGAAGAGAGAGGCCCTCAGCTGCTGGGGAGTCCCTGCCCCAACTCAGTCCCTCAACACACTGAGAACTCTCCTCCTAGTTTCCATCACAGACCCCTAAAAAAGGGAAAGGACTAGCAAGCCCTGTTATTAAAAACCATCAAGAAAGTCACTGTACCCAAAAAATAAATAATTGATATATTTGCCTATATTTTTTTTCTTTTTTAGTTATTCATGGGCACAATATATTTTGTTTATTTTTATGTGGTGCTAAGGATCGAACCCAGTGCCTCACATTTGTGAGGCAAGCGCTCTGCCACTGAGCCACAACCCCAGCCCCATATTTGCCTGTATTAAAAACACTCATCAAAATTACTATTTGTAAAAAAGTTCAGAGAACTGGGTGCAGTGGTACATGCCTATAATCCCAGTAGCCTGGGGCAGGAGGATCAAGAATGCAAAGCCAGCCTCAGCAAGACCCCAAGCAACTCAGTAAGACCCTCTAAATAAAATATGAAAGGGCTGGAGATATGTCTCAGTGGTAAAGTGCCCTTGAGTTCAATCCCCAGTAGCAAAAAACAAAAGGCTTAGTTGGGAAACACTTAATTCTTAATAACCTTCAAAGACTTGTATTCAGAATATATAAAGTGTTTCTATATACAAAAGAAAAATCCCAATTAAAAAAAATAGTCAAAAGAAATGTGCACAAGTCTATAATTCCAGCAGTTTGAGAGGCTGAGGCAAGAGGATAGCAAGGTCAGCCTCAGCAATTTTGCAAGACCCTGTCTCAAAAAATAAAAAGTGCTGGGGATATGACTCAGTGGTTAAGTTCTCCTGGGTTCAAATCCCTGGCACCAAAAAAAAAAAAAAAAAAGAGGCTTTAGCATTTTATAGAAGAGAAAAAGCTATTGATAAACACATGGAGAGGTGCTTAATCTCATTTAAAAACCTCTGTAGGTCTGAATGGACAACAAGGTGTTAACTGCCCTCTCTGTGGAGTTGTAATGGCAGGTGATCCTAGGTAGAAAACTGCTTAGGAAGAAAGGAAAGTAAGAGGATGGACTCCAAGGGGAAATATGGTAAAAAATACACAGGATCCACTAGGTGGCCTCATACTACAACGTGATTTTTTTTTTTTTTTTTTTTTTTTTTAGTGGTAGATGGACAGCATGCCTTTATTTATTTTTGTATGCAATGCTAAGGATCAAACCCATTACCTCACACATGCTGGGCAAGTGCTCTGCCATTGAGCCACAGCCACAGCCCT